CAGATACATTTATTTTAGCAATAAACTTTATCTTATCTTATCTTATCTACCTGCAGTCAGGTTATAGAGACTGTAAAGACGATCAGAAACTTTTACAATGTGACAATTTAAAAGTTAAATCAGCCTTTAATATAATCTTTGTTTAAAAAATAAGGATACTTTTGCAGGAAATCATGAAATAAGGACAGTTTAAATTCCGTACAGTTGTCTCTGAAGTCTAACTGTGGGGTAACCTTGTAAATACAGAGCATCTCATATCATGTTAAATTATCTCTAATTTTTTACGCCAACATAAACACATTATACACAAAAAATTTAACAGTGTCAGTAAGTAAATTATTATAAAAGCCTTATTTTATTTTTCAAAACGATTAATTTTATTATGATTTGTTTCATAATGGGCCAACCAATCAAAAGAACCAACTCTGGTTAGGCGGGTTCAAACTACATAGTAAATTGTGATTTTTTATTTGTATTATTTCGTGCTTTTAGTTGAATAAAAATATGAAATGAATTGAAATGAAATTTTCTGATAAAATCATTGATGTAAAAAAATCTGGACATAAATCTAATCAAACAATGCCTTTTCCTCCTGTATCTAAATATTTTTATAATTCATTTTTATTTACTTAAAATAAACCATTTGCGGAGAAAGAGGAAGTAGCTGTGTAGTCCCCAAAAAATGGGGTTTAGAGGGATTTTAGCCCCCAAAGAAGGGTGGGGGGGAAGCCTCCCCCTGACGAAATCCTGTGTATACCCCTGAAAAAAATAGACAAATAACACTTACCTGTGTTTATTAGAAAACAGTACAATTGTTTCCAGTTCTTTGCTTTTCTTCAGAACAGGTCTTTTAGGTTTATCCTAAATATAAATAGACAATTAAAAACTGTAACTCCGGATCATTTCAATACCGAGCCGACTTTTAAACAGATAGAGCAAGCAGTTCAGTACACATATAGATTATAGTGAAATTTATTTGAAGTACGTGCAGCGAGGCTTAAAGCCTATAGGGCTAACCATGTTTAATTTAATTCTTAGATCCGTTCGTTAATGGTTTATTTAATTAGCAAACAGCTTATCAAGTAGTCTTGAACTAAACTTTCAGTTCAATTAATGTTTTTTTTTCAATCGTTAAAGGTACAGACTGGCTATGTAAGGTAGTTGAACTGAGTATTGTGGAAAGTTTCTTTAGGATTCATTGAGACATTTAAAACTTTTTAAAGATCTGTAAATCCTGAGCTTGAGCGCAAATTCGACGTTAAAAACTCCTACTTTGAGGGTGGATACGTGTTCAGAATCGTTTTTTTTTTTAATTGTTAAATAACGACGAAGAAAAAAAAATTCAAAAATATACAGTAATCTAATTAGATGGTTAGGAACATATTTCTCAAATAAATCTATGCTAGAATCAATTATTTCGTTTTCATCATTTTATTGAATTTCTTTTTTTCTTTGAATTTATTCGCAAATTTTTCAAATTCTTCAAATGTCGTCTTTTCAATAATAATTCCAGAAAATCTGCAGAAAATCTGCAGAAAATCTGCAGAAAATCTTTGAGAATAGTGAGAAACCAGAAAAATGAGAAAACAAAAACTAATAATTGAATAAGATTACTTATTTTCGATGATAAGATTAATTTTTATTTTCTCAGCCTGTTCCTAAACAACTGTATAATTTTTATACATTTTATGACGTCGTTAATTAATAATTTAAAAAAAAACGAATATGAGCCCCATAGGTTCAACCGTTTTAACGTTTAATGGACGCATGCAATCAGACAAAATATAAATAAACAGATTTTTTTTTTCAATTTAAGCATAAAAGTTATATAAATCTGGTGCTTATTTAAAGAAAAAGTTGTTTGGTAAATATTAAAAAAAAACCTTTATTTATAAAGAGGTTGTTTCGTTAAATTAATAAAAACCGCTGTTTGTAAATATAACTATTATTCACCAAAAATCTAGCCCATATAATCACAATTTTTCTACTTTTTAATCTTCAGTAAGATATTGTAGGAAAAGGTTTAGAATTAGTCTAACAAAACTTGGTGAAGTATTATATCAATTTATGATATTCACTTCATAAACTATACTTAAATAAGTACAGTGAGAACAAGGAAAACTGTGGAATAACTGTCGTCTTTGTTCATTCTTTAATTAAGAAGCATTTGTAATCTAAATTGTTGCAACTGTTATATCTCTAAAAATTAAAAGGGCAATTTTTAGTAAATTTTAGTTGCAACATACATATGATAATCTAGTTGCAACATACATATGATAATTTAGTTGTGACATACATATGATAATTTAGTTGCAACATACATATGATAATTTAAGAAACTAAAATGTCAAGTGTTCCACTATTTGATGCAAACCTTTAATTTTGGTTTTTCATCTTTTTTTCTGTCTTCTTGTTTTGTTTCTTCTTGTTTTTGTTTCTTTAAGTCCTCTTCCTTCTTCTCCTTAATTCTCTCTACACTGATAGGACTAGGCCCGGCACTTATCCTAGAAAGCATGTACAGTGTACAATCGAAGAAAAATGTGAAATTGTCATTTTTCGGAGCACCAGTGCTAATTTCATCTTAATACAGTGATAACCAGAAAACTGTGGAATAGGAAGACGACATTAGTGCAATACTGAAGGGCATTTGATGCTGTCACAAAGCAAATAGCCTTACAAGTAAGCGATTAATCATGCTAATTAATTGAAATGTTTCTCCTTACACTGAAAAATCTTTGTTTGGTTCATGTTCATTGGACTATTTAAAGTCATATCTTGAGTCTAAAAGTTGTCTTTATTTTCCAGAGTTTTCTGGTTATCACTGTAGCATCATGACATTTTTCATTCATCAACATTTGACAAATGATGCTCATTAAATTTGCTCCGCGCTCCAAAAACATTTGACATTTCTTAGAGTTAAGTTTATTATTTCTTTAAAAAATCAAGTTTTGGCCTTGGGGGTTTTACAGAGACTGTTATCGTTATTTCAAATGACTCTCCGGCCTATATGGAAAAATGACAATGCCCGATTCACAACAGAAAGCTCGAAACCATCAATAATGTAAAAGATATTGTCCAATCAAATTCCACATCCTTGATTAGGTTTCAAGGTTACAGCTGTGAATTGGATTCGACAATCTACAATGAAGCGTCAAGTAAAATTATGCCAATAGTTCCTTGAAACTCTTACTTGCAAAGTTTGATGAAGATGTCCTCCATCTCCTCCCTGTCAATCTCCCCGCTCCCATCCTTGTCGTACAGCTTGAAGGCCCACTTCAGCTTCTCTTCAACTACAACAAGCATCAAGCAGGCTCAGTGGGGGGTATTAACACCCCTCCCTCTAGTTTTTTTTGCCCTAGCACTCTCATTTTTGACACTAGCTTAACATTTTTTTTTACTTTTAAGAAATAGTAAAAAACGTAATTTTAACGAAGTTACGACGTAATTTCTACGTAGCAAACGTGATTGGACTTTTCTGGGTAAATAAATTTCTCAAATTCCAAATTAATCTGAAGCGGTTACAAAGAACGAATAGTTTACAAAAAATATGAAAGTTTATAGTTTAACTATAATCAATCATTTACAAAATGATTCATATAACCATTTGATTGTTATAAAACCAAGGTTAATTGTTTGTTTTGTTTTATTACTTGAGAAGAAGAAAACCGCAAAGTAATGATTTTATAACTGAAAGTCTGAAACAGAGAGTTTCAGGAAAAATTGGGGACACAATTTTTAAATACTTTTCAAAAGTATTGAGATAAAGAAATTGTGTTTTTGTCACAAACTCTAATTTTCTTTGAAATTCCACGTGATGTCTTAAACCTTAGATATTTAAAATTATGTATTCTGTTAGAGATTTATTAATCTAAGTTTAAAATATGGTTTACACCATCAGGTTGCACAGATTTAAGGATTAGAAAACTTGAGTTTGTGACATAAACTTATTTCTAAACTGTTATACAACCCATTTTTATAATTTGAGAACAATCCTATAAAAAGTGCAGATTTAATGCATTGTTTGTTGCTAAATATGATAAATTATAGAATGTTTTTATCCAATGTTTTACGATTTAAATAGTAAAAAATTCTATAATTTGTTTTACCTGAACCCCGCATAGACATTGAAAACGCCATCAAAAGCTCATTAAAACTAGAAATGAAATTGCAATTATCTACATTTTATTTAATTTTGGCTTTGCAAAGTTTATATTAATTTATTTAAGTAACTGTAGTATTGCAGTCTACAAGGTATCTTTATATTTGACACAAATGTTTTCTGCTGCAGCTCAACTGTTTAAATGGTAAAAATAGAAAACAGAATTCTTTCGTTTAATGTGAAGAGACAGGCTATTTTTGTGTGTTTCAGACATAGATATGGAAATAACAAATAATCTAGAGGAGGATTATGATTACTGTATGAAGCTTTTTATGTAATGTGAATAAGAAAAAACATGCTGTGCAAAATGTATCATCAGTCTATCAGTCTTATGGATCTAAAATGTTCAAGTATCTGGACATGTAATAACCTTATAAAATTATAATTTTTGAATTTTATGTAAAATAAATAATTCTGCTCTATACTGGATGGAAAAAAAAAATAAAAATATGAGTCTTGTTCAAATCTGAACTGCGGACATTTTGATAGATTTTTAGGTAAATTTAACATTTTGGATTAACATAACCAGTGCCAAAAATCTAACCTGACTGAACCAGTTTTGTCAGGATCAAATATTCTAAAAATATTTTCAATCACTAGCTCGTCGTTACACCTAAAAAAGAGACTTATCACTTTTTCACTTTGCAAATTATCCAATTTGCATATTTTAACATTTGTTCTTGATTGCTTTCAGATAAAACAAGTTATTCCCCAGATTAAGAAAATATTTAAGTCTTGAAATTCTTAAAAATTCTCACTCAAAAATAGCTTTTATAAAAAAGCAATTAGTTGATAAAAATGCAAAGTAAACTTTTCAAAAAAATTAAACATTGATATCTAATTAATACTTGAATAGACAAAGCTTTCAAGGGCACCATTGTAGATTGTTAATTGCTATTTTTGCATCTGGAGGGTCACTTGAAATTACTCGTGCAGTCGCTTTAAGACTGTTATGTTAATATATAAACTTTGTACTTTTCAACACTGCACAGTGCACATGCATGAAGTTGAAATACAAGAACATTTTTTTAAAATTAATTGTTGATCAATGATTTGTTGGACTATACATTGTGCTAGAATATCTAACATTAGAGAATGCTGGAATGAAATCGAAAATATATCTTCAAGATTTATAATATACAACAGAATAAAGGAATTGAGTCTTTGCCACAGATATTTTAATCTCTATATCTTTGCAACCTAATGTCACAGGCCTTAGACATGTCAAACTATGAATTCTGTTAGATCACACAATCTAAGTTTGAAATATCAATGGTTTACACTATAAAGTTGCAAAGATATTGGGATTAGGGCTCAATTTCTTTGCATTGCTCATACTTGTATGTAAAACTAGAGAAGCTGCAGGGTTACCCACAAAGGATGAGATTATGAAGACGACCAGAATCTTTTTTAATTTGACTATTCCAAGGCTAAATAAAGCCTTCAGTAGAATTTGTTTATGGCTTATTTGATGATTAGGCAAAAAGAGAAACAAGCTTACAATTGCATAGAATCATAGATATAAGGGAAAAATTCTGACAATCGTCTCTGAAGTCTCTTTCTAGGTAACCCTGTACGAGGTCATAAATTCGCCATGCATACCTGGGAAACACCTTTCTTACGAGTTGAGTCAGCTGATTCCTGTTTATTTTCCCTGATGGAAAATCCTGTTTAAAACTATTCCAGAGCTGCACAATCTCATACTCAGTAAACCTCGTACTCTGAACAATATATAAACCCTGGAACAATATATAAACTATGGAACAATATATAAACCCTGTAACAATATATAAACCCTGGAGCAATATATAAACCCTGGAACAATATATAAACCATGGAACAATATATAAACTATAGAACAATATATAAAGTCTGGCACAATATATAAACTCTGGAACAATATATTAACCCTGGAACAATATATAAACCCTGGAACAATATATAAACTCTGGAACAATACATAATCTATGGAACAATATATACACCCTGGAACAATATATAAACTCTGGAACAATTATAAACCCTGGAAGAATATAAACCCTGGAACAATATATTAATCCTGGAACAATATATAAACCCTGGAACAATATATAAACCCTGGAACAATATATAAACCCTGGAACAATATATAAACCCTGGAATAATATATTTAAACCCTAGAACAATATATAAACTCTGGAACAATATATAAACCCTGGAACAATATATAAACTATGGAACAATATATAAACCCTGGAACAATATAAAAACCCTGGAACAATATATAAACTCTGGAACTATATATAAACCCTGGAACAATATATATACCCTGGAACAATATATAGACCCTGGAACAATATATAAACCCTGGAACCATATATAAACCCTGGAACAATATATAAACCCTGGAACAATATATATACCCTGGAACAATAGTTAAGCCCTGGAACGATATTTTTTTGTTTGGAATTTGAAGTTCCCGAGGTTGCCCGTGGAAATTCAAACCTGGGACCTGTGCTGGGACCTATCATAATGTTAAGGGGAAAGTTTAAAATTTTCATATTTTGTTACAATTTGGATTGCTATTGGTGGTATCAGACATACATACATACATACATACATACATACATACATACATACATACATTTTTGGAGGTTTTAAATATTTTCTCCTGAAGCACATTATTTGTATATTTTATTATATTTCATAAATAATTAAATAATTACTTACTTACTTGCTTACACACTGAAATATAAGTACAATTTTGACGTACTGCCTTAAGGTTTTCAGAAAAGAAGTTTATGTACTTTCACGATCTTATCATAAAAATAATAATCCCGTTAATTTTTCTCCATACCCCCCATCCCTCCCCCCTCCCCTCCATACCTTTACAAGTTTATCATATTCCATATTTGTTAAAGATTCCTTTTCTTCTAGCTCCTCTTCTTCTTCTAGTTCACTCGTAACTAAACAGTTTTGAAAAAAAGTTTTAAAAATCATTTATGAAATAAACTGATACAGGGTTTCCTACAAAAGATAAGACTTAATATATTGACCACCCGAATCTCTTTAAATACACTGATACAGGTTTTCCTTAATATATTTACGACCCGAATATTTTTAAATACACTGATACAGGGTTTCCTTAATATATTGACGACCTTAATATCTTTAAATACACTGATACAGGGTTTCCTTAAAATTTGACAAAAAAAAATTTCAGATGCATGGAACCATTTTTGCAAGCAAAAAATTGAAAGAAATTCGCACGAAGAATCGTCTCTTAAGTGTCTTTCTTTATGTGTTACTCTGTAAAATCTGTCGAATTTTTTGTGGAGCTTTATTACTTACTTACTATCAGATAATAACTTTCTTTTCCGGTATCACAGTTTTTTAAATTATCTCTACGTATTGTAAATTAATAAAAAATGCAAGATTTTGAAGAGAAACATTGAGATGAAAAAAATACCTACAGTTTACGTTTATTTCATCACAATTAAGACGACTTTTTTATTATTTTTATTGATTGTTTATAAGCTTTTTCGAATTACAAGTTTACAATTAATAAAAAAGAGAAGCCTTTTAATCGACTGCTTCTCTTTGTTTTTATATTTATGTGTATCCATGCTGTTAAAACTTTAAATTAGTCAAAATTTAATTCAAAAGTCGTCTTCTTTGTATCGATATAATCGCTTACCAATGTATAATATCAACACGAACTCTTATTTCAAAGTATCATATATATGGGAGCAAATGTCTCTTGACTTTATTTATTTATTTACCAACTGAAGTGCCCTGCGTTGCCCGTTGAATTTAAAAAATCGAATTTTGAAAGAAATTTTAGCCTTTNAAAGAATAAAATTTAGATTTGTATAGGCCTATGTTGGCCCAGGTTTCCTCAAAAACAAAGTCAGTCAATTTGGTTCTGCCGTTTAGCCAGCTAAATGCAAAGCTAACATTTAAATATATATGTATATATGAGCTTTATTATATAGATTTACCTATGATATCAACACTGGTTCCCATTGTTCTACTTTTGTTCATGTGTAGGATTGTCTGGAAACAGTATTGTAATAAAACCAAGGATGTTGTACATTGTAGGTACAATGTACATACATTATCTAAGGCTCTTTATGAGCAAGATATTCATCGATTTAAAGGGACTGTTAGCATAATTTTAAGAGCTATCCTCCAATAAAAGATGGCAATTTCCTATTCACAACGGTACCCTTGATACCCTCAAATCAGTAATGTTGAAGGTGTTTTTTTTTCTAGGTTTAAAGTTGTTTAATTCTGATAATTCCACAATTGATAATAATATGTTTTCAAACTATGAACATTTGTATCTAATTCGTATTGGATCAAAAAAAGTTTAATTCTTATAACTGATTATTTCTCTGCAAAGATAAATTTTTTGTGTTCATTATCTTTAGATATTTTCAATCAAAGTTTATTTTAATCCCACTGCAGGCACCAGACAACACCTCAGCTTTTATTAATTAGACCCTAGATAACTTGACAGTTTCTAGGTTTGCATTCTAACCAACCTTGGGTAATAAAACAAATAAAAATAAGTTTTTTTCCAATTATGCACTTTACAAAAACAGGATTCTTGATTCCTCAACTTAAGTTATCTCTACAGGTTATGAATATGGCTATCAAGGGCTAACAAAAAGTAATAAAATTAATTTGTAGATCTGCATAAGATGGAGATCAAGGCATGATCCTGCAGGATTATAACAAAAGTCAACGGAATTAAGTTTTTGCCACAAACTCAAATTTTCTAATCCCTATATCATGCACCCTTGATATTTCATACTTAGGCTATTTGATCTAACAGATTTTATAGTTTGAAATATCTAAGGTCTACGACATTGGGTTGCAAAGATATAGGTATTAGAAAATTTGAGTTTGTGACAAGGACTCAATTCCTTTATTGTATTACCAGGCCTTGCATTCCAAATGAATATACCTTTCCCAGTCTTAACATTTAATAGAATTTGAAGATTTTGGACTTTAGTTAGAAGTTTTTAAACCATTCTAGTTTACCGACTTGAAGGAATTATGGTCCTAAAACAATGTGCATTTCTATCAACTCAGATATTGCAATAGTTTTGAAACACCTCTCTGGAACTGTCGACGTTATTGATTTCAACCCTTCGTTAAAAAAAAAGAAGAGTGACATGTACGATTCACAACGGTACGTTCCCTTGAAAGCACAATCCCTGAGTTACAATTTGTGTTAAATTCTGACAATTTTTTTCTTCATTACCTCTGCAAGTGTTACCCCCAAGTCACTGTTATAGAGAAACCTGTATTGAAAATATACATAGTGTTTATCAGACAAAAGGTTTCTCAGATGTCACTGTATAATAGACTAGCTTGAAAACCCAGCGTTACCCGGGGTAATCACAGGTACTCCCGCAGTTTACCCGCGCTTGGTCGTAAATTACGATTTGGGCTATTTTTCTCTATAAAAGTAGACCCACTCAATTTAGAATCTCTAAACCAAGCTAAGAACATTCCCGTTGGTCTCCCGAGTTCCCCCATCACAATTTGATGCACAATTGTCTAGGGGTTTCTGAGTTATGATCGGACATCCAAACATGTCAACAGAGATTACAACTTTAGTTATAGACTAACTGAATTGCTCGGCCCTGCCCAGGTTACTCATAGTTACTATCGCCGTTTACCCGCTCTCGGTCGATTGTACCGGTAAATTTTCGCCAAAAAATAGGCACTCAAAACCAAGCAGCATTAGACTGGACTTTTTAAGGAATTATTTTAGAAAAACATTTCTTATATCACAATCTGAAATTGAAAAAGCAAGCATATTTATTGTAATGTTTTTACTTGTAAAAAGTGTGTGTTTGTTATTCTGAAATGTTTAAAGCTTTTTAAAAGTTTTTCCTGGTCTAATATTATTATATCTATAGTTGAGAACTTGACAAGTAGTAAACTAGTACTGGAGTGGAATGTACATGGTCTAATATTATTATATCTATAACCCCCCTCCAACCTCCAACCTCCAACCAAACTTTTCTCATTCAAAAAATGAAAATTCTCAGAAATCCAAGTATTTTTGGTGACACATAAATGTGTAACAAATTATACGTTACATGATACACATGTAATTTTAATTATATAAATAGAGTTAAAACATATATGCATTGTATGTACGAAAAAATAGAGTGATGGGAAGATCCCAGAGACAGGGTTACCCCTTGTAGGATTTGGGTGAATCAATGATTTTCAATTTGAGCCATGTAAATATTGAATATTTTATACTTAGATACTTTGGTTTCCAGCTAATGAAAGAAAGAGTCCCCCTCTACATGTATTCCTCTTCAAGGCATTGTTCAGAATATAAATATATATTATATAGGCCAATTCTTAATAATGCTCATTAACTAGTTTCCATGACTGGGTATAATTTACAGCCCCCCCTGGAGGGATATTATAAACAGTGTGCCGAACAAAAATATCCTCAGAAATTAAATTTCAGAAATCCCCGAAATAATATTTATTGATAACAAGCATGCATGTTGCTCATGAAGTGCCTGTAATTAAAGCGTTTTGCTGCCATTTATTTTTTTAAGTGAAGCTAAACTTTGTTCACTGGCACTTTACATAAAAGCAGGAAAATCGGCCAATTCCGCAGAGCACTTTAACCCTATCACGATGGGGGGGGGGGGGTTTTCCAACTTCATTATTGAGAACAACTTTAGCAAAAAAAAATGCTGCAGAATGCATTGCACAGGGTTGAGGATGGTCAAACAGCTGGTCAGTGTTAAAAAACAATCAAAATAGTATACTTTTTATTTTGTTTAAGCTAAAGATCGTATTCACTTATTTAAAGAATGGTATGCAATAATATGTATCACATGTTAATTTATTTTAAGCTAAAGATCGTATTTACATATTTGAATGTTATGCAATAACATATATCACATGTGTTAATTCATTTTAAAAATAAAAATTAATCTGTTGAAACATTTTTCTGACAAACTTTAAGAATATTTGTAAAACCTCCCAAGCACATAACAGATAAAGTTACAGGTATAATTTTTCTAATGAACTGGCTTAGAAAAGTTGTACAAGGGGTATGTATGTATAACAAAATACTCATCCCTAATCCCTATATCTCTGCAACTCCTAAAAACAAAATCCACCAATCTATATGAGACAAAAATAGCCCAATCTGGAAAGGGTTAAGCTAAACAAAAAATCGATTCACTTCTATTTGCCATTTTAGTGTCGTTACCGTTGACGCGCTTTTTTAAAAAATAATTGGAGCTTTTCGTGAAAATCTCTTTTTAGTGACACCCTGTCTTGCAGCTTACTGCGTGCATACTGTGTATTAGAGTAACAAACCATAATCCATCAAATTCAATAATTACATTCTTGATAACCCCAAAACATATTTGTTCTTTTATAAATAATCAGTAAAAAAGTTTTTTTTTTAAATATTTTGTTTGATCGTGATAAGCAATTTAGGCACCACTTTTCTTCTCATTATAATATTGGGGTCACAGTTAGTGGTTTAGCTCTAATGTACTTTATATCCAGTCATATATTATAAGCAGGGGAAAGGAAGTCAAGGTTATAATGATAGGAAAGTTAATTGCAGCTGCGTATATTCTGCGTACATATTGAAACCAGTTTCTCTCTGGGCGGTGTTTGTAAACAAGAATAAATCAGGGAAAAATTATAAAGGGAAGGGAAATGGCGCTTGTCTGGCATGAGAAAGTCAGTCGCACTGCTTTGCAGACGAGTTCGTAATTACACATGCACAATCTTTTGGTTCATACACACAAATTGACTACAGTCAAGGAAATTGCAGAACAATATCGTCAACTATAATTAAGCTTGAATAACAAGTAATTTATTGTAAACTTTAATCAAATTATATTCTTTGCATGAAAATTTGGCTTATAGTGTTTACTTAAACATATAAATAATGCATGGATACATGTATATTTAAACTTATTTTCAAGTAAACACTTAACAGTAAACAAATGTACTTTCCTAGACTGTACGAATACCGAGATTCTTATGTACTGTATACCTACAGTACACGCCTTCGGTTCGGTATTACTCACACACACTCTTTTTGTACAGACACACATACAAGACGTTTCCGCCCCCTTGAATAAATGCATCAGTGTTCGTTAAGTATTCGTGGAGGATAAAAGCATTTAATTTTGATAATTTTAATAATTCACATAATAGTTTCCTTTGAGTAGAATATTTCATTGAATTTTTATGTGAAAGATGGAACCCATGTCTGCCTGTGACATACGTCTTGTGTTTACATTACCGCCTATAATGTGTTGATAAAAATTAAAGAGAAAGTTAACCTTTGTCTTTAACTACATCAAATACTTCTCACTATTGATAAAATCTGGTCTCAGATTCTACTAAAGTACAAGAAAGCAGTTATGGTAAAATATCTCTGATTCATTAAAAACTTTCCTAACATTGATAAAAAGTGTGTTCGTTTTTGCAACATACAAAATACTCAACTATATTTAGAGTTACTAGGAAAAAATAAGACCTCAAAGACAACTATACAAAATTTATTTTTACTAATTTTTTCTTTCATAGTTCTATATTTTGCTTTAATAAATATTTAGCCAAAAAGAATTCACAGCTAACTGAAGTGCCCGGCGTTCCCCAGGAATTGAAAAAAAGTTTAATTTAAAAGAAAAAAATTGGAATTTTGAAGAAAAAAAATCGGATGGGTTCCATAAAATAAATGAGAGTATTTTTTATAAAATTTGCTTTTTTAAATACTTCAGCTATTATGTATGATGTATATATGAGCGGAGAGAATTTTTATAAAGATATTTACATTTTGCTTATAAGAAAATTAAATTTATAAACGAGTTTACTTGTATGAAATACATATAATTGGTACAGTGGCACCCATAAGACTTTGTAAATGGAAGACAGCCATTTTTACAATCCTACAGTGAAACCCTTAATAACGAATACATCAAAAGAATTCATCAAATGTCATATTATTCACTTTCTGATAATGGAATGTTGCAGATATTTAGTTTTTTAATTAAATGATTATATGGAACTCTTTAAAACTGTTCCCGCATGTTCATGGCTATTTATTTATTTTCGCAAATACTAAAATTTACATAATATAGTATAAAACTCATTGAAAAATTGTCAAGACGACATTTGATAAATTCTTCCGATGTATTCGTTATCAAGGGTTTCACTGTTTATAAACTTAAAATTTTTTAAGGTAACAGTTTTACTAGAAGATTAAACTTGGTCTTGTAGAATGCAATGGGGCTGTCTACATTGCACAATTTTAGTGTTTCATGATCATTGAACCAATCAAAATTATACTTGAGTGTAGACGTCGTCTTCATTTTCCGCAGTTTTATGAATCCCACTGTGCATATATGCTATTTTTTGTTCTCAGATTTCAAATCATTGGTTTTTGAGCAGTGGGTAGATTTTGTTTGCCCACTCCTTGCTTCCAGACCAGGACCCATTCTCCGCATTCTCTGGTTCACTACTGCGCAGCTCAGTGCGCACAACACGCGGTGATTCAAAGTTTTCAGCGGCATTCTTCTTACTGTGCGCACGGAATATATTTGATCGACTAGAAAAGGTTAAATGATTAGGAGTTGTTATGTTGATTAGTCTTATAATTGGTAAAATACTTGACAATTATACTAGACCTTTATTTGAAGTATATCTTTGTGTGGTTTTATTAATCTTATTTTATGATTTTCTCTTTAAAAATGATTTTTGATTGTAAATTTTTCTAAAACACTTAAGATATTTTTCGTATATTTTTTGTCTTTATTCGTGAACTTCAAGATTTAAGAATTCATGAATATTTTGTTTTTTTTGTATGCCATCTCAAAATCAGTCGAAAATATTTGTGTAGGCTCACCTAAATATTTGTTCACTGTTCTTCAAAGATTCAAGGTACTGCAATTGACTAAAAATTGATTAAATATTATAATATTTCAAATTTAGAAATTATTAACTGGTCCTGCAAAAAGCTGGCCTGACAATGTGTACAATTTTAAAAAGAATAATGAACTTTTTAAATTGAGGTTTTTCGAATCTGGGATACAACATTGTAACAAATTCAAGAAAATACGAAGACGATTACCAATGTGTAGCGCAGTTGACCGCGCAAGATTTACAATACATTAAACTATATCCGCTCCAAATGTGTCTCCTCATGTCCCCCCCCCCTTCACCGCCTCTACTTGTGGAGAACAGCGTCAGACGTCAGTTAGCTTTAGAACGTCGAGATGTGAACACCTCCGATCAGGAACTACTAACTCCTTCATACTGCCGCAGATGCCTACTCTAGCAACGAATGCTGCTAATGTCTAAGCCTCCAGATGTCCAAATCCACAAAACAGTCGCATGTCCTGTGGTATGAGAGGCAAATCGTTCCTCCCCACACATGTTACAGACTGCAAACCCAGTCGCATGTCCTGTGGTATGAGGGGCAAATCGTTCCTCCCCACACATGTTTCAGACTGCAAACCCTCCAGGACCGTCGCCTAGATGTGAACCCTTTGCTGCCAAGATGCTGACACCTGCGAGCTGACCATCATGAAGCTGTTCCATTCCTTTCAACACTAATAATCAATGTTATTTCATTTTCAACCGTTTAGATATTCCCCAAGTTAAGGGTCAATATTTTAAAACTGTACTTTTATTTCTCATTTCATGCTATTATTCAATAAAGTTAAGGAATATCCCTTTTGTTCTTTTATTTGTGTCAACAAACATATATTTAGATTTAATAAAGACTTCAAATACAGAGTTCTACCCACAACGAATAAGACTTTACTAACAAGCAAAAAAAACTTTTAAAAAATCGATTTGAATTGGTAGGATTTTTTTTAGAATTCTGTTTATTCCTTTGCCAAGTCTCATCCTTTATACATGATATACTGCTAAAGAAAGTAAAAACATTTAAAACTTTATATATTTAGTTAAACTTTAGTTAAACAGGGCGCTGAGGTGTTTGATCATGTAGGACTAAATATGTAAGCGTGTAACACATTTGTGCGTCCTCATTATCTGTGAATTGATCATTTCTATATACCTGTTTGTCATTCTTGTCTGAAGGAGAGACTGATAGGTTATTGGTGGACCCTGAAGAAGGGAAGAAATGAAATATTATTTTTAAATGCATTCAACAGAATTCGTAAAGGTTATGAATTTCCCAAATTTTTGGCCATTTGAAATAAAAAAAAAGTTAGCCCAGCAGAATGCTAAGTTACACAATCATCCCAGGAGACAGAAGAAATTGGATAAAATCAAAGTATTCACTTCCATCTAAATTTTAACTTCTGGTGATTTGGTTTGGCATTTTGTGAAGATTAATAAGTTTAATTCACGGTTTCGTTTGATGGCTTACCTTGTTAAAAGCAATTTAATCAGCTGTTTTAAAATGGTGGTTTGGTTTGGTATATTTACCTCAAAAAGGAGCAGACTGAGTTAATGTTATAAGTTTTATAACACAGAGTATAAGTTTTATAACACAGAGTATAAGTTTTATAACACAGAGTATAAGTTTTATAACACAGAGTATAAATGGAATTGGGATCAGAATTTTTGCATACACAATGTCACTTTCTTGTGTACAGGTTGTACCAAGAAACATGGGAATTGAGAACAAAGAAAACAGCCATGTTTCCTGAGTTTGTAATTTGTATACATAAATTTTCTTGTTTTACTTAGTAACTATCGTATACAGATAAAACATTAACAAACAAAATGTAAACATAGCAGACAAAAATCCTACTGATTACAGCTTTCTCAGTAAGTATTAATATATATATAAAAGAATTATTTAAAAAGACGATATCGAAATTCAATTCCCATATTTATTGTGACACCCTGTATGCAATAAACATATTCATTGAATATGCTATATTGCATACATCTAGAAACTGCTAGAGATACTGGGATTTAGAATGCAACAGCTCCAATCTCTATCAGTGCAGTTTCAAGGTATTTTGAACTGGGTGGTTTGGTTTTGTATATTTACCTTGGTAAGAGTAGTTTCTACCGAACTTGTTGGTGGCTGCTGCGCTGGTACTTTTAATATCAACCGGGGTTCATTCTATAAATATTTTATATTTTAAAGATGCAGCAGTTATGTTATGAAAAAAACATGACAAGTAAATGCAGGGTTACCCACAAAGGAAAGGACTGTAAAGACGACTTAAAAATCTTCAAACATGAAGTTTAAAATAAATCTTTTCTCTTGAATATGGTCTTTATAAATGGATTTAAGGAAAAAGACAGTATATATTCTGCACAGTCGTCTCTGAAGTCTTTGTGGGTCCCCCTGTATGTTATTTGGTTGCTTATAACTTTTGTTATGGTTTAGTTTTAAGCACTAAAAATTTTCAAAATGGTTTTAAAAGGTTCAATGATTAGCCATGCGTTATTATATCATTATATGCTCAATTCTTTTTCTTAATTTAGCTCACTTCAGGTAAAGACTTGAATATTTTCAAATTCAAATCTAAACATTGTTAAAAAATATTAGGGACACACAGGCTCATCAAGTAAACATTCAGGGTTTTTAAAGTTTTTAATGAAGTTGCATAAGTATTACACATGTTTATATTATACAACCCGTCAAAAGAAAATTTGCACATTTTTAGTTTTTCTTAGTTACACATCAGGGTATTAAAAATATTGCTAAACTTTTTGCATATTTAAAAATGGAACGGTTTTTTCAACAATGTATAATTTATCATTTTTGGAAATTTTTTTTGCAAACACTATTGGATTTGTCAAAAAAATTAATTTTGCAAGTTTGGAATTTTTTTGCTGATTTTAAAAGTAGAGAATAAGAGCTTTCCAATGATGTATCATTTGTCATATTTGGAATTAAACATGGGATTTAGAGGAGCCCCCCCCCCCTAACCTGATTTTCAAGTACCCCAGCAGGGATTGGGTTAAGAAAATCCTTAAATTAAGAATTGTTTACCTTATCTCTCCCATTATCTGGTTTTGTAACAATGTAATTATCTAAACATAATTGTTATACAGGGTGTCCCAATAAACATGGGAATTAAGAGACGACTTTAATATCGTCTTTGATTTCTGATAATTGATGAATGACAAAAAGTGCATCAAAAAAGATTGAAAGTCTAATTTTAGCTTTCCAAAATAAGGTTTACATTTTTTGATTCTTAAAAATTGATGGAGATATTAAACGTTTGAACAGCTTTGTTGAGTTTTAATAAACTGCAAACTGCACAATTTTCCTAATATCTCCCACATTCTGGAAAAAGTAGTTTTCGGTGTTAAATGTTTTAACTGTGATACTATAATATTATTTTTACGAAACAATCCCGCGTGGAACAAACAAAGACGATTTAGAAGTCGTCATTCAATTCCCATGTTTACTGGGACACCCTGTATTGTATCAATGAAAAATGTAATCTAATAAGTCAAAAAATAAATGTTTTGAGGTAAAAATACTTCAACTGCCTAATACCCAGCAAACATTTAGTTTCTGTACTGCAATGGCGAACATTTGGAGGAGTTATCGAAAAATATTTTGTAAATATGCCAATGGATCGAACATTGATGTTTGTCTCCATCTATCCCTATCAAGTACTTTATATCTAACCGCCACGTTGAAGTTGAAACTTCACCCTTTGATGTCGGGGTATTGTCAAAAATTGGATTATTGTCCGGCATAGATTTAAATGTTTGCTGGATAGCTTTAAATATCAACAAACAAATTTATTTATTCTATCTATTAAACTATTTTAGGCAGAGGCATATTCAGGAATTTTAAAAGGGGGGCTTACATTTTTTTCACCACCCGTTGGGACCTGAAAACCCCATGAAAAAATATATATATTTTACTAGTATAGGAGTTGGACTAAGCTTCAATAGCCCCACCCCCTTGAATACGCCTCAGAATTAGGGCTACCTGGTACAAGAAACTGGTTAGGCACTGTGTTGAAAGCATAATCTAAACTTTCATCATCTTTATTTTCTAGAAGGTAGTCCAGAACATCTGTATTTACTGTATTGTCGTCAACATAACTATCTGGAAATCTAACTAGCTTATTTGACGGATTCCGTTGTCCGTATATACTTTCCGGACTATAGAGAGCCGGGTTGATTTTTGAATTAGAATAAATGTTAGTTTCCACAAGACTGTTTTGAACACTTCGTTTTCGATTGTACTCCTGGGTATAGTAGTCTAGTAGTTCATCTAGGTGCTGAGAGTAACTAAAAACAGACGCCATTGAAATATTCTTAAAATGCAATAAAAAACTTAATCGTTAATTTGTACATCAAAAAGTTTTAAATATAATTAAACCAAGCAAAAAGTTTACACTATTTAGTATCTTAACAAAGTTTTTTCACTGAAAATCCGAAAAGCTGTTTGTAAAACTTGGCATATAGCAGTACATTGTACAATGCACGACAGCCAGAACAGTACCGTACAATTGCAAGCTATAGACAAAACTCTAAACAAAACTTTACAACACATTTTCCAAACACAATTCTTCATGTACATTAAATTATCAATTTAGAAATTCAATCACCAAGTTCCAAAATTAAAAGTAAATTTTAAAAAAATTGATTATTTGAAGTTAACGGAAAATTAAAATGTCAGACAGTAAAATTATTTTAATTTCAAGACGATCTGAACCTGCTGGTTGGGAGCTCGTTTGTTCTTGTGTACTGTAATTCAGGTATATTCGGTACGTAGGGATTCGTTCTCGTGTACAATTCAGCTGTGTTCGGTACATAAGGGTTGCGGCTGTAAAACTGTACAGTTTGCATACAATCAATTAAAGATTGGTAGATTGTTAATGGAACTAATGAATTGGATTAACAAATAACAGATCAGTAAAAAGGGTGACAGGTTTCAGATTAGATTAGTGGAAAGTGGATCAAACATTTAAAAACTGTAATGATATAAAAATTCAAAATAAATTGAACACAAGCGCTTATTTTATATTCTCAATATCTTTGAAGCCGAATGGTATATAATTTTAATTTTTTGATTTACTTGATACTTGAATAAGTAGGTTTACAATCTGTTAAGCTTTAATAAATAAAAAATTTGAGTTTGAAGAAAGTAATCAGTTTCCTTATAAACAATATTTTATGATAATGCAAGCAAGGAATGTTAAAGGGATTGAAAACGTAATTTTAAGTAACCCTCTATTGACAGAGGGACATGTCCGATTCAAAACGATCCCCTTTAAAAAATGTTAAGTCTAAATGATAGAAATCTATGTATCTAAATACTGATTATATTTATTTTTTAGCCAAAAAAACGCCGTTATATTCAACATTATTGATAAGATTAGTATACAAAGGTATTATACTGCGAATCAGAATTTCCCATTTCCAATGGAGGATCGCTAAAAATGACTACGACCTGCAGTTCCTTTCAAGGATGATGAATCAGTTGATGAGAAGTTTAAAGGATTTTGACGGATAAATGAAATGAAGGTTAATTAATCAATTAATGATGTTTGTGTATGTTCTGCTCCTGTGTACTTGTGTCGTAATCTGATCAAACACCATTTAATCCAGAAATAATTAAAAATCGTCGGAGCAGACAAATTTCTGAAATCACTCCAGATCTGTCACTTTCCAAATATATACATGTTTTTCTTTAGCTTCCTGTCTTCCTGTATTATTGTCTTTATGTCTAACTTTCTTCTTGTCTTCCTATACTTCTGGATTTCTGTCTTACTAACTTCATGTCTTCCTTTCTTCCTGTCTACATGTCCAATTAGCTCCCTGTGTTCATATCCTATAATCTTCCTGTCTTCCTGTCTACCAATCTTCCTATCTTTTGATCTTCCTGTTTTAATGAATTTCTGTTTTCCTTTCTTCCTATCTTCCTATTTATATGCCTGTCTTCCAGTCTACCTATCTTCCATTCTTCCTGTCTTCCTGTCTTCCTGTCTTCCTTCTTCCTGTCTTTCTATCCCAAAGTCTTCCTATCTTTATGCCTTCTTGTTTTTCTGATTTCCTTTCTTCCTGTTTTCCTGTCTTACTTTCTTCCTATCTTCCCGTATTCCTTTCTTTCTTACTTCGTTTTTTCCTGCTTTCCTTTCTCCCTATCTTACTGTCTTCTTTTCTTCCTGTCTTCAGGTCTTCAGGCCTTCAGGTCTTCATGTCTTCAGTTCTTCCTATCTTCCTATCTTCCTGTCTTCCTAGCCTATTATTTTTCTGTCTACCTATCTGCCTATCTTTCTATCTTCGTGTCTTCATTTGTTTCTGTCTACCTGTCTTCCTTTTATCTGGACTTCTTGTCTTTCTGTCTTTGTCCTGTCTTCCTGGCTTCCTGTCTTTGTCCTGTCTTCATGTCTGCCTGTCTTTCTGTCTTTGTCCTGTCTTCCTGGCTTCCTGTCTTTTTCATGTCTTCCTATCTTTGTCCTGTCTTCCTGTCTTTGTCCTGTCTTCCTGTCTTTGTCCTGTCTTCCTGTCTTAGTCCTGTCTTCCTGTCTTCCTGTCTTTGTCCTGACTTCATGTCTTCCTGTCTTCCTGTCTTCCTGTCTTTGTCCTGTCTATATGTCTTTGTCCTGTCTTCCTGTCTTTCTCCTGTCTATCGACAATTTTCCTGTCTTAATGTCTTTCCTTTTTTTTCAATAATACATGAACATATTTAAATGGTTTCCTAGTTGAGGGCAATCTAAGCATTCTTCTATATGGTTGAAACTAGTGCTCCCTCCTTCATATACTGGAGCATATACTCCCCCACCTTAAATATATTTGGTATATTCTTCTGTATCGTTGAAACTAGTGCTCCCTCCTTCATATACTGGAGCATATACTCCCCCACCTTAAATATATTTGGTATATTCTTCTGTATGGTTTAAACTAGTACTCCCTCCTTAATATAATGGAGTATATACTCCCCCCCCCTAAATATATTTACATTCGTTTTCTATATGCATAAAACTTGTACTCCCACCTTCATATACTGGAGTATACACTCCCTCCTTCATATACTGTAGTATATACACTCCAATCTAACTAAAGTGGTGATTATATGTTGATTATAAAGACCTAACCGCAAAGGCCGAATACATTTTTATCAAATAACCCAATTTTGTGTAATGTACAGTGATAACCAGAATATTATAGAAAACGTGTTAAAGCAATTCTGAAGTGCATTTGATGTTGTTATAAAGTGAATAGCTTTACTAGTAAGTTATTTAATCACTTATAAAGTGAATGACTCTGTTTACACCACAAAGTTGCTGGGTCTTATGTTCATTGGACTATTTTGAGTCATACCTTAAGCCTAAAAGTCGTTTTCCTATTTCAGGGTTATCTGGTTCTGACTGTATTAAATATGTGAGACTTCTTAACATATGATAATAAAACTGTAATAATGTACATTTTTCATTTAATCATTATATATGTAAAAATGTGTGTTTTAAAAAAAAAAGTGAGTGTATTAAACTCCTAAATGTATTGTATACCATGTGAACCAATTTATAACCATATAAAAAAAACCATGAACATTAAACAAAAACATTCTGTGGTTTTTAATATATACACGTAAAGATGTATATGTAGATTTGAGACCAAATGAACCCTTGAAATTGAAAATTTTGATTATGAACTAGAGAAATTCAATGTTTAAAATATCAAAAGTCTACGACAATAGGTTTGTAACAGAAAAAGACATAGAAACTAAGAGTACTAAATTATTTTTGTTATTAAAAATGTAATTGCTACCTTGATGTAGAAAATTATTAAAAACTCCCGAATTCTTAGAATAAGATTGATCTTGTAGGTTTAATCCTTCATCGACAGATACACTACAATAATATGTAATTAAATGCAATAAAATGAAATTGTAGAATTTATATATTGTATGTTTGGCGGATTTTTAGTAATGTCAATTTGGTAATGACAATTTGGTAAGCTGACAATCATAAAATTATATCAAATCATATCATATCATATCATATCATATCATATCATATCATATCATATCATATCATATCATTTCACATCATATCATATTATATCATATCATTTATATCAAATTATATCAAATCATGTCATACCATTTCAAATCATATTATATCACATCATCATATCATTGCATACAAACTTTTGCCATGTAATTATATATCTCTTATGATTTAACATCATATGTTATTTTATCTCATATAAAACATGTTTTATGTCAGATCCATGCAAAAAAAGTGGAATTCTCCTTGTATCTTTTTATTTTGAAATGTCGCTATATGGATTTTATATAATTTACAACTAAACTATTTCTAAAAAATTGTACTAATCATTTTTAAAGAATTATCAGTTGCAACATAGATTACAAATTACAAACTCCTTAAAATTTAATTGTATTAATATTTAATATTAGAGGAACTTTTAAGATTGATCAACTTGAATTGTTGTTTCTCTTTGGAAGTCTATTGTTGATTTCTGATGAACGCGGAAACAATGGAGTCTGAAAACTCCGGTTTAATTTCAAGTACCGGGCCGATTTTGAACCTGCTAGAGAAAGCTGTACAATACTAATATATGTACAGGCAATATAAGGCAAAACTGGACAGTATAGCAAATTGAAAATCTAATTTTAGTAAAATTTAAGTGAGAGGGCATTGTGAGATTTCAACACTGTTTTAATAAAAAACGATCCGTTCGACATATTCCATGTTGTTGATCAGAAAGAGAATCATAAGGTTCCGATGTGAATAGAAAATGTCCCCCATTTTAAATGTGAAGGGGCAAAGAAACTTCCTTTAATATAGTTTGAAGTAATTCATTCACCTTCTGGTGTAAGATTTCTGAATCTTAGTTGGGAAGAGCTCTGTTGGGAAGAAGTTAAACAAGGTTTGTATTTCAAATATCAACGCATCCTTTAGTACCATACCTGGATATATCAATAAATAAATCAATTAATCAATTAATCCATTAGTCAATTAATCCATTTAATCAATTAATCTATTTATAAATTAATCCATTAATCAATTAATCCATTTATCAATTAATCCATATATCAATTAATCCATTTTTAAATTAATCCATATATCAATTAATGCATAAATCATTTCATCCATAAATAGATTAATACATTAATTAATCCATTAATCAATCAATTAATTAATTAATCAATTAATTAATTGATCAATTAATTAATTAATCAATTAATCCATTAATCCACTACTTAATTAATCCATTAATCAATTAATCAATTAATCAATTAATCAATTAATCAATAATTAATTTATCCATTTATCACTTAATCAATTAAGAAATTAAGAAATTAAGAAATTAGCCAAAAATTAAATTTTCACTGTTTTTAAGATTTTCAAGATTTAACGTTAAAACTATTTTTATTGATTAATTCAAATTTTATTTTTTTAATATTAAAAAAGTTATTTTTATTCTTGTTATTTAACATTTTAGAAAATTGGTAACCCAAGAAGTTGGTCGTTTAATAATTAAATAAAGAGTGTTAATAATAAAAATTTAATACTTTCAAGGTTTAATGTCAATACAAACTTCAAGTGATATAAAAGTTGTGAGAAACTAATTAGAAATAAAGAATTAAAATGTTACCCAAGAAAAGTATAGTTTTGACTGCAAGTAGAAGTAAAGGGAAAATTCCCACCGTTAGAACACCTCTGGTACCTTTAAAGGGACTGTAGAAGTAATTTCAAACAATGAGTTACATGTCTGGTTCACAACGGTACCCTTCAAACCTTTGCCGTTGCAATGATGTAGATATCCTTGTTAATCTGTCTGAAAATTACAAATGTTACACCGCGGTTTCCTTGGAAGAAAGTTAGCAGAAAAATGATGATCAGAGAATAGTTTAAAGGGTACCGTTGTGAATCGGGCATATAACTAAATAAAGGGTCATTTGAAATTATGTCGACAGTTTAAAAAAGGATTAATCATGAAAAAAATAGATTTTTATTCTTTGTCACCCCCAAGGAGAATTGAATAGAAGGATGGGACGACAGGGTTTTCGTACACATTGCTGTGACGTTTTTGGACTGCTGAAGAACTAGTTTTTGCGTAACAACAATAATAAAGATTGTAAGCAATAACACAAATGATAAACAGACATCTGGCATCTCTGGCGCGTTAGAAGAAGATTCACCGTATACGAACTCATGTTTGTTTACATTAGATCGGCTGCCTTCGTTATTGTTGTTACGCAAAAACTAGTTCTTCAGCAGGCCAAAAACGTCACAGCAAAGTGTACGGAAACCCTATCGCCCCCTCCTTCTCATTTGGTCCAGCCGTTTGGCCGGCCAGAGGGAACCTATATACGAATGTCTTGTTTTATTATATAGAAGATAATTAAACTTCAGAATTGTTTCACCAAAAGTACATCCATCCTTATTGGCATAAATATTTTACAAGGGCGTATACAGGATCATAATCAGGATCAGCATGGCTTATGAAGCTTCATTTCCCCCTTTTCACTAAATAGTCTTTGCCACAAACTCAAATTGTCTACAACATTGCAAAGATATAAGGATAGGACAATTTGAGTTTGTGGCAAAAACTAGGGCTGGGCACGTTCCGACCTTTTCTAGCCGTTTCTTCAACGGTTTGTTCCCACCGGTAAAATAGAAAAATTTCAGGTAGCCATTAGTTTTAAAGGTAAAAGCGGAACGTTCGTTTTGTTTATGGTATTTTCCGTTACCATTAGTTTACGTTTTCAATGTTATTAACGGCAAAAACCGAAAACTTTTCTGCCGTTAACAGTTGTGTTTTTTTGCAAAAAGTTTCGTTAAAGTTTTGTTAAATCGTTAACGTTGTAAGCTGTTAACGGTTGTTTTATCTTTTGCCAAAACTCCGAAATTTTCATAAAAAATTGTTAATTGGATTTACGGTTTACGGTACCAGCCGTCACCAAATTGCAAAAACATCTTCAAAAGATCCATCATATAAATAGTTGAGGGAGGGGACTGAAAACGACATTTAAAATCATCAAAATACGTTAAAAAATAATGAAAGTTGCAGTTCTAAAAAACCCACCCGTTTCCTTTTCGTTTTCAACCGTTAAATTTTTTTCAAAAACGGCTAATCCGTTTCACTAACGATTTAAAAGTTAACGGGTTCTGACGTTCATTAACGTACTCTTCCCTAGCAAAAGCTCAGTTTCTTTACATATATGTTCTTTACCTAAAAAATCGATGAATGCTCTGTCCTGGATTTCTGCTAACCCTGCTTCCATTCTGAGAAGCCTTTAAGAAAATTATTTACATGGTTTTCCAAAAAAAAGTTTATTTATTTATTAATATTTGAAATTTTTAAAAATCTATTGATGAGAATTCGTTCATTTTTTATTGTTCTTTTTTAAAAGCCCAAAAGGGCTTAAAGGGACTGTAAAGGAAAAATGAAAGGGGGTATAGGATGAAACCTGAGAATATCAGCTTTTATCCTATACCCCTTTCATTTTTCCTTTACAGTTCCTTTAAGATATATAAAGAATAAATATCTAAGATAGACTAAAAACGATTAATTATTAACTCACCATTATTTTCTGTCCGTCATTTTAAATAATATGATAATTTATCTTCATTCTGAAAAAAAAACACTTTATTTTTGTGCCTTGTTGAAAAAACCTTTTTTTTCTTTTTATAAAACTAACGAAAGTAAATTAGAATGAACATTTTAACAGTAAAAGCACTGGGTTAATTAAGTGTCGGTTCTAACTCCTTAATTAAGCAGACAAGCTTAATTGTTTTTTAAACTATTAAAATATAATGACTCGGCATAAAACTCCCATAGTCCCTGCAGCCTTTACTCTGTTCGTTGAGAAAACAAAGCCGATTAAAATTTCACATTGACAAAAGTAATTCTCACAATTATATTTTTAGTCAATTTTTGTTTTATATTTCATAAAAATCCAACAATCAATTGTTTTTTGTATTCATATAGCATATATGTTCACATGTTTATATTTTTCTATAGTTGCATATTCACATAGTTATATGATTGACCAGGCCCACTTTGAAGATACATGAAATGTACACTATTTATCCATTTCCATAACTGATATTTATCATTCTACACATCTTGTTATACTTACATAATTTATATTCTATTATATTTAGTATCCATATAATACAATATACAATATACAACACATACATAACATATATATATTTACATAATATATATCATGTATCCATGTACATAAACATGTTTTACATGGTGGCTTCATGTTATATTATATATGTATTTTGACCCCCTGTCAAAAATAAGTTTAAGTGAGGGGTTTATGTATATATTTATTTTGACCCCTCACTTAAACTTATTTTTGACATTTGTCATTTAGAATTTCTTTTTGCTAAACACATCACAATGTAACCAATTATAAACCATACACAGATTCAATGCCAAAAGATGTTAAACTGCGCGTAATTACAAAATATCCGTCAAGTCATTGGTTTAAGCCTCATTAACAATTCTAATTGGCATCTTAATTTCTCACGAGTAGAATATAAGATTGGCAAGGTTTCTCACCAGCTTGTAAACGTTACATACAGGGTACAATACAATGACAGTAATTTTATAGTAAAATTGACTTCTAAGTAAAAGATTTTGTTAACAAAACAAAAAATGCAACTAGTCTGTAATATATTATACACTAACTGAAAAATTAGAATTTTGAAGAAAAAAAATTGGTAAAAAATGTTAACCTTTAAAAAATATACAGCCAAATATAAATATATATATATTTATATGAGCGAAGAGCTTTATTATATAGAAAAGAGGAAGAAGACTCAAAATTTATCACCATTTACCAATTGTCATATTTCTTGAGACAAACTGCATTTGCCGCGTGTGTCACGTGTGTATATTGCCTTTAGCCGAATGCGGGAAGATAGTGATTCTCGTTAGCCGGCATACGCATTTGACAATAAAGGAACACCTAACGTTTTCCCCCTGGGGTAACAGAGTAAGTAACATATCCCCCAAAATTAACCGTAACAACGCATTTTTGAAATTACACGGGCAACATCCGTTAATCGATAAAATTGTTCAAGAAACATTCAAATCGTTTAAACTTAAATGTTTTCTTGTGAGAAGAAATATCGAATTTTTTTCATTTATCTTAAGAACATTTTTAAAAAGTAAAAATGTTTTTAATTCTTGACCTAAACCATTTTCCTTTTATATCGTTCGTTCTACAACAAAACATTATTCAGAAAATTATTCAGAACATTGTTCAGAAAATTGTTCGTTCATGAAAATCGTTAGTTCAGTAAAAGGTCGGGTTGGGTTTTGAATTTTTCGTTTGTTTACGAAAAACATGACATTTACAATTCCATTTAAGATTTTAGTAAAGTCTTTTAAGAAACAGGAAGCGTGGTGGGAACTCATTCACTTAATTCAAAAATAGATAATAAAGATTTAGTAAATGTTTTTCATAAATTAATTAATTTGTAAATATATCTAAAGTTTTATTTATGTTCAATCAGATATTATATAACCCAATTCAATCTTTTGAAATAATTTTAACTTGCTTCATTATATAATAATGATATGATTACTAAAATATTTTAGACAATTTGAACCTTTTAATATCTTAAATAGATCTTTTAATATCTTAAATAGATCTTTTAATATCTTAAATAGATCTTTTAATATCTTAAATAGATCTTTTAATATCTTAAATAGATCTTTTTTAATTAAAAATTGTTATATTTTCTCATCCTTATAAAGTTTAAATTAGTTCTTTAAAGTTTCCTTATTTTTAAAATTTCCATTAGTTTTAGTATAGTTCTACGATTTTTTTTATTAACCTCTATGACAAAATGCCAAAAAAGGATTCACAACATTTCTCTCTGATTTTTATCCTTATTATATTAAAACAACATTTTAAAGGTTTATACAGCAATAAACAAGAATGGAAATGTCTGAGCAATGTAAGCAAGTATTCTGCTATTTTACTATTTATAGTTTAAGGTTTTAAGGATCTTTCAATAAGAACAGCCTTGGCAGAAATGAAATTTTAGGAGGCTTTGATATGCTTCTTCAAAAATATAACTCATATGTATAAGTATATTTNGTGGATACATACAAATAGAATACGTGAGATACAGAGGATACACATTACACATATGTATACATCCATGTAGGTTGAAAGGGATACAGTGGATACAGGATCATAGTAAACGTGAGATACAGAGGATACACATTACACATATGTATACATCCATGTAGGTTGAATGCATGGGAATGGGAAAGAGTTGATACAAACAAATAGAATACATGGTATGCGGACTTGCAGAGAATGTGTCTAGATATATAAAGTTGTTATTTCTGTTTGTTTTGGTGTTTGCTTGTCTGTTTGTTTATTTGTCCGATCTTATCTGAGGAACCACTTGAAACCACGGTAATGTTCTTAGCTTGGTTTTGAGATTCTAAGTTGTGTGAATTGAATTACATATAGAATACAGATTATACATGCATAAAGAACACACGGGCAGCAGATAATACAAAATTTATAAAAGACGTATAGATGATATTACATGAAAGCTACTTTAATTGCATATGATATATGAGTGATTATAGAATACAAAGTGATATTGGGATTCTTTCATTTATTTATTTTTTATTTGAAATATTGATTTGTTTGTCTTTTTTAAATAATTTTTATGTTTATATCTAAAATCTTTTTTCGGTTCAATTTCACAAAATGTGTCCGCTAAGGCTGATAATACATGCTTAAATAGACAAAAAATATTTGACATTTTTAAATATAAAATTTTTGCAGGAAAAATTTTCTCTCTTGATTAAAAGGTTTTAAAGGACACAATATCCATATAAACTGTTTGATTCCAATAAACGTCAAAACTGCGGAACCGATCGGGCAAAAAAATGGCAATTTAACATGACCACAGGAAATGTATTTGATCGCTCAAATTTGAATTTTTTTTGCCTGGAATAAATTTTTTTGAATGCACCATTTTAAACATAAAAATACATATGAAAATTAGTTTTTTTAAGAAAACAAAAAAAATGGTAGTTGACAGAGCAACCTATAGATTGAAGTTACTAGCTAGCGCTTTAAATTGAAGCGTTCTAAAATGCTTGTTTTTAAGTAAATTTTTCAATTGAAACTTAAACGGAAAGTAAAATATTATGAGGATTAAAAATGTTAGGACAAAAACTGATAAAGAGAACAGTCATTGTTGAATAAACTTGGAAAAAATCTTCATTATCTTTTGATATTGTTTAAAATTTCAAAATTTTATTTTCCAATAATTTTCCTTGACATTTGATATAGATAAAGCCAAAATTCATAAACAATAATTAAATGTTAAAATCAATAACTATTAAGTATCTACTTCGAGTACGCATAGTAAACAGGAAAAGCAAAACAAAAACAGTGGGAACCAGAACAAAAGTGAAATAATCATTATCTTCTATTTTCTTTGATTATGCAGTACGAACAATTTTGACATTGTCAACGTGCGTCCTGAACCAATTCAAAAAAAGTGCACTGCACACACTAATTCTAGTTGATGGGTCAAATAGGCCTATGATAGGCCGGGTACTGTAAAAAGTCTGGCCGCGCCATCAACGTTGGGCCGGTCAAACCAGATCGACCAGCAAGCTTTGAAAGTAGGATACTCTCAGACAGGCTGACTGCTACAGCTTGCTGGTGAGCATAGACAACAGGAGGACCTTATAGGTTTGCAGAGAAGGATTAGCCATCTTATAGTTAGCCAGGCTTATGAGAAGGGAGTACTTCATGATCGAAGACGATAAAAAAGGTAAGGCTTTTTATCTGGCCTAAATATTTTTCAATCCAATCCAAGCCGAGTAGAAATGAAACTGCTGCCACGTAAAACTAAAGTATTTTTAAGATAGGATAGAAATCTGAAATGTTTTAAATCATAAATTCTTTCATTGAAGAGCTATATGAAAAAAGAAAGCCGAATTTATCATACTTGTGCGTAAAGTACTTGTACTGGTAAAGTCTCATTCATTCGACTTTAAACTAATAAAAAGGAGTGAAAATTAGTTTAAGACGGTTTTTATTTTATTTTCGAACATATCCCTATTTTGAAACAGTTACCACTTTTTAGCTCGTGACGCGCTCAAGGAACATCTCCTGATTTCGAGACTTTACTCAAATTCACATCAATGTAAATTTTCAAGCTGCACTTGATATAAAACAATCTCCATAGTATGATTTTTATTTTTAAAAACAATTTAATAATAGGTTTTAAGTGGCTTTAACTTAAAAAAATCTGGAATGTATTCGTTAAAAATATTCTTATTGTTTAATCCAAGGGTTTCAAGCTATCAAGGAAAAATGGTTGACAGTTTTGCCAATTACTTTTAAAAAAATCAAAGCCAAGAACAATTGTTTTATAGTTCTATGATTGATTGACAAGTATAAGCCAGCAGAAAAGTTTGCATTCCTTAGTGAGGTTAAATAAAAGGTGTTGCGACACTTTACAGTCGACCCAGTCTGGACAATTTATGCAATTTTTTATAGCAGTTTAGATCTATATGTACTTTCATTTTTAACACGGAAACTGTATTAGCTGCAAA